GATTGACTTACGCCGAGGCTCCCGCATGGGAAAAATCAACATTCGCTCTGCGGTTTGTGGGAGCGGGTGTTGGGGTGCCCCATTCTCCGAGGGGTCCATCGCGGGGCCGTGGGGCTGCAGCCTGGGGTCGGGTGGCACTGGCAGTGCCTGTGGTGGGGCCAAGGCTGCTCGGGCGGGCAGCAGGCGAGGGCTGACGTCAGGTCAGCTGCGCAAGGTGTGCGGGGCCGTGGTTCGGCATGGGGTGCGCTGTCGGCCCCCCACCGTCACGCGGGTTCTGCCACCGCCCGGCAGCAGGACTGGGCAAGCCGGAGCAAACGGCCGGGGATGGGGAAGGCTGACGGTGCGAGGAAATCTCTGAGAGGAGCTGCCTTGGGGCGCGGGAGCAAGTCGGGTTCTTGGAGGTGCGCCCCAAAACCACCTCCCTCCCTCTGCTGCTCCCCTCCCAAGGCACTACCCAAGGCAGGATGCGGCTCCGGGAGAGCTGGCGTCAGGGCTGCCAGCGGCAGCGCACGCTCCCCTCCGTGTCCTCTTTTTGCCGGACTAACCCGCTTCGTCTGTGGGAGTCACTTGCACCCGTGCCAGAGCTTCGGGTGACGTGGGACTGAGGTTCCCTCTTCGGCTTAATCCTTCCTCCGCAGCCGTTGCCCTGCTCGTGCTAAATGTGCCCGGGGGTGATGCAGCTACGCCGTGCCTGTCCCTGGAAGGAGGCGGCCAAAACTTGGGGAGCAGTTTGGGTCCCCCCGGGCGTGCGGACATGGCACAGCTCCTCTCGGAGCGTGGGGCCTGCAAGGGTGTGGGTCTCCCCCAGCTCGTCGCGGCGCTGGCAGCCCCTCCTGTTTCTTGCCCAATGCAGGGCACGTGCCGCTTCGGCGTGTCATGATGGTAACGTCGAGTCAGCAGCAGCGAAAAGTTCCTCCGCGCCCCAAACTGCTTCCCTGTGGTCGTGCTCACGCTGTTTTGTGGGTGGTGGGGACCTCCCCCGTCCCTTTGCTTGGCTTTGCCTTGCGCTTGAGAGAAACTTCAGGCCTTCTCGAGAGGGTTTGAAGCCCTGCCGAGGCGAGAAAGTGCCTTCTCATCGGCGGCGGTGCTGCTCTGAGGAGGCGCTCTCCTCCCGGCGCGCAGCCTGGCAGCTGCTGGAATTGCCTGCAGCCGCATCTCTCCGCACCGCGCGTCCCCCTTGGCCGGCGCGGTCCTTTCGGAGCCACCGGTGGGTGAAGATCGCTCAGAGGGTAAGCAAAACCTCAGCCGTTCTCCAAGCGAGGGACTCTGAAGGTGTCGCCAACTTAATACATAACGAGGCTTTTTC